ATGGTTGTTACCGTCCGATAGTAGGGGCCGTTCGGCGGTTGTCATCGTCCGATAGTGGGGCCATCCGATGGTTGGTGGGACCGTCTGATAATTTGCATTCTCGCCCGCCAGAGTATTTTTTCCGCCCACTCATTTGCCGAAAGAGGGCGTGGTTTGCGACGATGATAATTTGGGGCCGTCCGATAACTAGTAGTTGGGCCCGTCCAATGGTTGATACCGTCCAATACTAGTAGTTGGAGCTGTCCGACATTTGAGCCGTCCAATGGTTGCGACCGTCCGATAGTTGGCCAAGGGAGCGCACTTGTAGGTGCAAAACGACAACGTCTAGCCAGAATCACTCGACATGAATGTGACCTCGGCGGGAATCTCGGATTGCCTAGATACCAGAATATAGCGAAAAATTCGACAATTCGATAGTGACACTGTCTGTATTTTTAATGGTTCGTCTTGTCCATAGACCCGCTATGGTCTGGGGTCATAACACACTATCTCAAAGAAAGTCGGAGACAATGTAGCCTTTGGTTACTTTATACATGGAAGTCTCACTATATTCACATACGCCGCCATTATCACAACCGATCCTTTTTGGTAGAATCTTGCCACTTGTGACCATGCTCATCTTCAAACTATTGTTTCAGTAATTCACTAAAGAAAACTGTGGACTTTCACTGTAACAACTGCTATAGAATTGGAGATAAGTGCATGTAGTGCACTTATTGTATAGTTAGACAATTTTTGTCGCACTGTCAGGATGGCCGAGCGGTCTAAGGCGCTGCGTTCAGGTCGCAGTCTACTCTTGTAGGCGTGGGTTCGAATCCCACTTCTGACATACGTTTTTTTCTTTTCCCTATTTTGCTGATATTTTCTTTCAAATTACACTGTATGCAAGTTAGTCATTTTCACTAAATTATATTAAATGTTTAATTTTACTCCATATTTAGAACATATTTTGTTTCTATTTCTCAGTATGATCATATGGTGGCGCTATTGCTCAATCCGTGCAGGTGTTCAGAATCTATTTATGAATCATGACTACCAGCTTACATGTATAAGAAAGTCTCCCACATTAATATTGGTTGGTTTTCATACATATTATCGATGCCTTGCACAATTTATCACACACATTTGTTTTGAAAAAAAACACCAAAAAAACAAACAAAAAAAACTGGAAACACCGTTCTGAAAAGGAATGGATATTCCGTATACTGTTTATTTTCATAACTAAACCCAATAAAACGTGTTCTTTGTTTCTGTCAGTGGCTGTGATTGTCGCATTTGCTGTACATTCATATGAGTTAATACATTAACAATATATATTTTCACTAACTTGCAGATAATACATGTGTTTTTCGTGCGGTTTACATTTTATGTCTGAATTTTATTCCATCATAAATGTTATAGTTTACTCATTTTGACACACTGGAAGAATATTCCATTGTAATTTAATTTCAATGAAAAACGGTGGTCATGGACACACACGCAATATATTAAGGGACAAGTAAAACACGCGTTTTTAAATCAATAACTGTTTTAAATATGCCTTGTCGCAAGTGAAACGCGCCAGTTTGCCGGGTTGTTTTGTCGGCCTTGTTGTCAAGTTTCTCGCTATTACAGTTTAATATCAACCATGGTTAGACTTAGTACGTGTATACTACTTTGCTTAAAATAGTATTTACCCTGCCATGTATTCTGCGTTATTTCTGTACGTTACTTTGTATTTCACAGGTAGCAGCAATTGGTGATTGCAAATTCAAGTTATTCTACACCAGCCGTGACGGAGAAAAAGATATATGATTAAAATAGCGAGATCTTTAATTTCATCGCTCTTAACAATGTAACATAACACGGTCTTGTATACGCAAGCAATCAATGCTAATAAATAACAATCATGATGTACTCATACTAAATAAATAGTCGATTCCGACTTTGCTAACTAACGCCAACTAACTATAACTGAAATCTTATGAGACAGGGCAGAATTTTTGTAGGCATTATCCATCTTTGTGATATTTTCCCGAGCAAAGAAGTCATCGGGTCTCAGGCCGGAAATAGGCCGACAACAGGCAATTTTATTTAAAATAAATAAGTCCCGTCCGTGGTCAAAGTTCACCTAACTCAAAAATGTTATTCATCAACAAGGTAGCGTAAGAACATTTAAAAAGATTCATTTTCATTCGTTGGTCGTCAATACAGAAACATTCACACACACACATGTTTGGGCAACTACTATGTATTATAATAACTTGAACACGATGACTAGACATATATACACAAAGTTTGAGAAGATAAAGGTGTGTAACTGCCGTCCCTTACTATTTGTACGGCGGTATGCGATAGAGATTACGCGAGAAGAGAACTCTCGTACTTAGCGGGCGTTCGAACCAATAGCGTCACAAAACGCAATACGTTTTCGGAATGTTTGATGGCGTAAATAGTAATGCGTGAAATGATTTTCACCGAATTAAAATCGCACGTATTACACGATTTGCGAATAAGCAAGGGCACTGCCTAAAACGGTCTGATATGAATACAAACCAGTTCTTTTACACTGACTAATTAATATGCATTGGAATTCCTAGAAATATAGCTTTCTTTTGAGATTTTCTGAATATTTAAGCAATTCGCATGAGATTCCCATCTCGTAACACGCCCTTGATTACCCACATCTTATACATCCTTGGTGGAACGTTCGGTAAAAGCAATATGATCACAACGAGACTGCTGAACTATAATTATATATGGCACCATTGATTTCGTCACGCGCCGGGGCGTACAGTATACAACG